TTTTTTTGTTTTGTTTCCTTTTTTGAGACAAGGGTCTCGCTGCACATCACAAACTGGCCTGGATTGCAGCTGTTCTCCTGCCTCAGCCTCCCAAATACTGGGATGACGGGTGTGCACCGCTGAGACCAGATAGAATTCAGTTCTTACAAATTCATCAAAATGATTTTAGCTAGGAGAACTGATGATGATGAAGAAAGAATTAATGTCTTGGAAGGTAAATGAGAGAACATAACACAGCCAAGGAGATGGATGAGATGAAAGTGGTGGTGTGAGGCGTGCAGACGTGCGTGTATCTGGCGTCAGCCGAGAGGAGCAGGCCGTGGGGGAGGGGCATCGGAGGAAGCCCTCACTGCTGAGGTTTAAGGCCTACTGAAAGACAGACTGCGGATCTTAGGAAGCACAGCGAATCCTGAACAGATTACGGATAAGCAGTACACAGAAGAGACACTGAGGATTGAACTCAGGCCCTGGTGCCTGCCAGGGAAGCGTTTATTCTCCTGAGCTCTCTCCCGGCCCCTTCAGAAGAGACACTGAGAAGCTCCTGAAATCAGCCCCAAAGAGCGCGAGAGGCGTCCCAGTTGAGTGCGGGTGCTGGAGCGAGGGTATCTGGGTTCCCGTAATGCGTGGAAGCTGTGCAACCTTGGCCGCATGGCTGCTCTGTGCCCCATTTCCCCCATGGAAAGTGGGGGTGACAGGGATTTGGGGGGTAGCTCTGTGTGAGAGCCCTAGCCTGTCGTGCTCAACGTCTTAGGTTTGATTCCCAGCATTGCAAAACAAAGCAAAAAAGGAATTTGAATACTTAGGGGATTGTTAGGCTTCGATGAATTAAGCCATCGAGGATTCTTGAAACAGTGCCTGGCACGTAGTAAAGCCCACGTCCCTGGCCATTACTGTTATTACTGCTATTCCCGGGGAAAGGGAATACTACTAGCTGTTGAAAGGTGACTGCGTGTAGGTTCACAGGACAGGCCCGGCCCGGTGTGTTTCTGTGTAAGTCTTCCTAGAACACAGCCACCTATTTGTCCCCATTTGAGGAGTCCCTTTGCGTGATGACAGCAGAACTGAGCTGTGGTGGGGACTGCGTGTGACCTCCAAAATGTAAAGTATTTACTAACTGGGCCTTTTTATAAGATTTACGTTGATTCCTGGACTAGAGCCACATGTGTCTGCTGCTGTCGATGACTGAGACTAGAAGGGTGTTGGGAGCCCAGCCCAGGCGTGCACATCTGTAATGCCAGCACTCAGGAGGCTGATGCCGGAGGATCGGCGTGAGGTTGGGGCCAGCCTGGGCTACATAGCGAGACCCTGTCTCAAAAAAACCAAAAAAACAAAAAACAAACAAACAAAAAAACCTGAAGAAGAAGAAAAAAATGATATAAAGTAAACACAGTGGCGTGCTGTGCTGGCCCCACCCGTGGGGTGCACTGAGACTGAGATTGAGACTGGGCATGGTGACATGTGCCTGCAATCCCAGCTCTTGAGAAGCTGAAAACAGGAGAATCACTAGGAGTCCGATCTACGTAGTGAGACCCTGAACACTGTGTAGAACACCCTGTCCTAAATTTTTTTTTTTTTTTAAGAAGAACACAAAAGAACAAGTTGCAAATAGAGGGATTTATAGAGGGTGTAAGTACATGAAAATACTTGATTCCTCACAGGGATATATGTATGGAGTGCAGTAAAATTCAAAGATAAACCCCAAAATGTAAGGCTGGCCAGATAGCTCAGCGGACTAAAACGCTTGTTTAGGCAAGCTTAGGCAAGTGCAGGGACCATGGTTCGACCTGACATCATGTGCTGTGCCAGCAGGCTGAGCTGGCCACAAAAACAAAAACAAACAAAAGAATCAGAATGGGCCGGGGAGATAGCGCAGTAGAATAAGCCCTTGCCTGGCCAGCGCAGGGTCCTGAGTTCAACCTCGGCACGGAAAGGAAAAAAAAAAAAAAAAAGAACCAGAATGAGGGGAAGGGTTGAGGGTGAAGTGGAGAATCCCACCCCCTCGGGCAGGCAGTGGGGATGTGGCATTCTTTGTCATCTTTGTTCCTCTCTTGACGCCTGACAGACAGCACGATGGCTTCTTTTCAGGGGCCCTGTGCTCAGGGTCATGACGTTGATGGCCCTGTGGCCCCAGGAAAAAGCAGTGGCAAAGGCTTTGAGACAGAAATGTGCTGCGTGATCATTCTGACGCTTTCGGGTCAGAAGGAAATGCTGACGACAAGGAGAGAGAGTCTTAGATTGCGGGAGTGGCGCGGCCCCGGGAGGGCGTGGGGCCAGCTCTGTGCTCGGGGATGCCGTCCCTTTACCCCAGCCCTGGTCCGCAGCCATCTGACATTACCTGAGCTTGTCATTTGGTCACAAGGCTGCCAGCTTTACACGGCTGACTGGGTGACAGTGACAGTCTCATGCCGTCCCTGCACTGGCCCCTTAGACACGAAGTACCTCGTCACCGGGGCTTCCTTTTGGCCTTGTGGCATTCATGCTTTGTCAGTGTCCCTTGGTCAGCCTGTGTGTCCTGCGGCTTCAGGGTGGAGGGGAGCGTCTGGCTGCGGCATGGTGGTGACCCCGTCTGTCCCGGCTCCTCAGGTCAGCGCTGGGCAAATTCTGCTGGTGTTTGTGGTCAGCTGAGTCCTGGAGCTGTCCTTCCTACAGCAACACAGTGTGTTTCAGAAACACACACACACACACACACACACACACACACACACACACTTCAAGGACTTCTTTGTATTTTCCCAAACGTTTCAAGCGTGGACCTAGCCAGTTGAAGATGGAGACCATTTCCTTTAGGGGCCTGCTGTACCTTAGCAGGGGCTTCCAGAAAATGTGCACTTTATGTTTTTAAAGTAAAACACTGTATGTTATAGTTATGGTGGGGCAGGGCAGGGCAGGCTGGGATTTGAAGGAAAATTTCTTCTTCAGGGAGTTGCTGCTGAGCTTTGATAGCTGCTGTCTCTTCAGGGTCTGAGGAGCTGTGTCAGGCTAACCAGAGCTGATTAGGTGTTGACAGTTGATTGCAATCAAGGACATTTTTAATTTTTATGTAGAGATGGAACTCTCCAAGGAGCCCGGAATATTTCTTTTGCTGTTTTGAGCAGGAGAATTGATGTGGGAAACGCTGGTAATGTAAGCATGTCAAAATGTACCCGTGGAGGACCCTTTCACTTGAGAAAGTTTTGTTCATTTTAGCAAATGTTTTTGAGTAGCAACCATGTGTGGGGGGCTTGGCTGAAATGCTGAATGCTGCCCTTGGGGGTGCCGCAGTTTTCAAACATTTTGCCCTTGATGCTTTTTATATGCTTGAGAAAAAAGGTCCTGGAATTTTTTAAAAATAAAGATTATATTGGTGACTATATTAGAAGTTAAAGCTGAGTTACTTAAAAATATGTACTTACTGATTTGTTTGAATAACTAACTATACGTGCTTTACTTGTTAACACAAGTGGATTGCTTTTTACGAAGAATGACCATTTTCTGAATCAAAGGTGCGCAGGAGAAGGTCCTGCTTTCTTTCATGTCTCTGCCGGGTGCCGGGCTGGGTGCACCCAGGTGGAGCCTGCGTTTGGTCTGTTGCAGCCCTGGACGTTGTGTCACTTCTAGAAATCTCCACTGAACCCTGACAGGGGAAGAAGCCAACAATTGATTACGTTTTTGTCACGTTTATCACCCCAGCTGGGCGTGGTGGCACACATCTGTAATCCCAGAGCTCAGGGGGCTGAGGCAGGAGGATCAATGCCAGTTAGAGGCCAGCCTGGACTACAGCGTGAGACCCTGTTTCAAAAGCAAAAGCAAAAGCAAACAAAAAATCCTGTCACTCCTCTAGCACCTCACCATGATCTCAGCTCTTGGAGATGATCGGAGTGGCGAGAAGAGTGACGAAAAGGATGGATGAACTGGGCCCGGGTCTCAGAAGTCTTGTCTACCTGAGCCTTGAACTGAGCACGCACAGCGTATTTATTGAGAAGCTTAGAAAGTGCCAGTCACTGACAAAGGGCCGTGTCCGCGAAGCCCTCCAGATCACGAGATCCTGATCAGTCACATACTGCCGCTGTCCTAAAACTTGACGGTGCACAAGATTTCCCCTCTGGTCTCTTAAGACAGTTCTGAGAAACCAAATGGGAGCATTCTGTCCCAACGGCGTGCCGCCAGGTGAACGTCCTCTTTTTTGTTTTCCCTGGACTTCGTCCCCAGAGATCTATCATGAATCCTGCAGCACTCAGCGATTTAACACATTTGCCTTTTTGCAGTTTCGCTGCTGTTGCGTCGTTGCTGGTGTTGTTTCTGGCTGTTTCTGTTTGCAGAGCTCTGATGGCGTCTTATGACTCTGGCGCGGGGTCCACTGCCTGCCTTTGTGAGTCCAGCGGGCTCTGGGGAATCCAGCCGCTCTTTTGGTCAGCCGACGGCAGGCTTTCTACTTTAGTTCCCTGGGCCGTCAGGTCGCCCAGGCACTGGGCCAGGGTGTGGGGATTGCAGGGCTCTCTCCCGCACCCGAGGACTGTGATGGTTCTGACCACAGAGGTCTGCTGGAAGAGAGGGAGGTGTTTCCCGGATTATGCCGAAAGTACCGGTTGGGGAAAATGCTGGTTGGATGGATGAACATAAAGAAGGGATTGGGATTTATGCAGCACCGACCCAACCCGCACTGTGTGTTCAGTAGCGTGCGGCTGTGAGGCTGTCCCTCCTTGGCCTCACCCGCTCTTGGGCTGGCGCCACTGCCCCTGGGAGCTCCTGTGGCCTCCGCTCAGCTACCAGTGACAGGTGACAAGGCCCAGTGTACGGCTCGGGGAAGGCGTAACGTTTCTTCTTTTCCTGCTTCCTTTGGGATGAAACGTTCTGACAGTTTGCCTAGTATTTTTTTTTTTTTTTTAATATGTATCCGTGTTCTTTTTCTAAGAAATGTTTCCCTTGGGGCAAATGTACTTTTTCTGGGAGCTGTTAAGTTTGTTTTTCATAAAGCACCTTAAGATTGGGTTGTCATTGCGCCACTATTATAGTTAATTTTACCTCACGTGGAACTGTCTAGCGTTTTATTTTTGGAGCTTTAGGAAGCCTAATGGGCTTGTACGGAGGTAGGAATTACAGGGATCACTTTTCAGGGAATAAGGCCTAATTTTAACTCTGGGTGGGAGTTAGTATAAATGTCATGTGCATTGCTAATTTTTCAGATGAGTAATTCTCTTTGTGATGATTTCTTTTCCCCGGAGATCGCGCAGCATGTATTTTTTTTTTAAATTTTATTTATTTATTTATTTATTTATTTATTTATGTATGTGTGTGTGTGTGTGTGTGTGTGTGTAGCCAGCTCAGCCCATCAGGGGGCGGGGCTGGCTGGCATGTGGTGCTGGGGGACCGAACCATGGTCCCCGTGCTTTGCCAAGCTTGTTCTAAGTAGGTGCTTTAGACCACTGAGCCATCTCACCAGCCCCGCGCAGCATGTATTACCGAGCGAAGGTGCCTTGTATAAGGGAGGCGATAAAACTGACTTGCCAGCTGTCCCCACAACAGTGCGGCCCTCAGGGAGGTACCCGGCCCCAGAGGGGGAGCCTCTTCTGCGCAGCCCCTGCCGTGATGTTCCTCACGACAGAGCTGTCGGTCACAGCTCCTGTGTCACCCTGTGACCCCTAGTGGGTCTAGTAAGTGCTTCGGAGAAAACTTCTGGGAGTTTAATGGGTGGGGGAGCAGTGCGCAGGGTGCCCCGCACGGTACGGTCCTGTGACTCTGTGAGCTGGGTCAGGGCCTCGCGGAGTCTGCGATAGAGCTGGAGGACAGAGCAGGTGGACACTAGGAGTGTTTAGTGAGAAGAAAGAAAGAGCCCCAGAGACCCGGCCGGGGTGGGTAGCCATGGGGACTTTTTGTCTAGTGGTTTTATATGAAAAAATGACCAGGGCTCAGACGACTCAGAGTTGAGTGAAGGGCAGTCTAGAAGACTAAAGCAAGCACCGTTAAGCTAGCAGTGAGCCTCAGGGCTCACGGACCCCGGCTGTGCCTGCACGGCCTCTCGGCCACTTTTTTCTTTTTATCTTGGTGGCTGTCCACAAGAATAGAGGGGTGAGGTGGGGGAGGCCTGCCCCTTAGCTCAGTTCTTTAAGTGGCTGCTTCAACCAAGCAGTCAGGCTCAGGTTGCTGTGGTTCGATCCCCACGACTCAAGCCAGCCAAACCTGCCCTGAAGGAATTGGGAGCAAAAAAAAAAGGAGATGGCTCAGTAGAATAAATGCTTCCCTGGCAAGCTCAAGGGCCTGAGTTCAATTCCCGGTTCTGCCAAAAAAAAAAAAAAAAATTAAAAAATAGAGGGAGCCGGAAGACACGTTTCAAGTTGGGGAGGACTTGTATATCCTGGACGGCTTGTCCTGCGGGTCCCATTAGCTCCTGACCCCAGGCTGCTGCCTACTTGACTGAGGTCTAGCCTTCACGACACCTTGGGCCCAGGGTCTGGCTGGCTAACTGTCACCCTCTGTCCGACTCGTCCCCCTCTAGTGACCCCGTTTATTTTAATGTGAGATGGTGCAAGTGAACCTGACCACAGGTCAGCAGTCGTAGGGGCTCCCAGGGCTGCAGGGAGGAGGCTGGGATCAAGGGGAGGGGGCCCCAGGGTCTTCTTGTCTGTGTGGGGCTGTGACTTCCCAGTACACGTGTGCATGCATCTGTGTATGTCTTTTTGTGTGTGCATGTGCAGGTGTGTATGTGCGTGTGCAGATATGCGTGTGTGTGCAGGTGTGCGTGTGTGCAGGTGTGTGCGTGTGTGTAGGTGCATGCATGTGTGCGTGTGTGCAGGTGCATGTGCATACCAGACTTCCTCAGACTGAGCTTTAAGTGCAAGTTATCACGCATCCTTTATCCCTCGATGTAGCTGTAAAATAAAAACACAGAAGCAAAGGGAAGGGCTCTGGTTCAGCTTATCTGGAGCCCCAGACCCTGAGAAGGTGCGGAGGGGAATCAGGTCCATCCCAGACCAGAGCTGCGGCTGCAGGAATCCGGGGTTGGGCTGCTTAAAGGCGGAGCTCTTGTCTCTCCTAAGGCCTGGATGTGCTGGCCAGGCAGGAGACCTCGTCGCAGCTTCCCTTCATCGTGAGGAGAGCATTTTTCAGTGCTAGGGATGGGATGAAGGCCTTATGTGTTTGATCTAATTAGGGAAAAACAAATGCAGTCACCTCTCAGTGATTTGGCTTTAAAGTCTGGGAAATTCTCTAGGGAAGAGTTAAATTAAAAAAAAAATATTTTTTTGAGACAGGGCCTTGCTGCATGTGTAGTTCAGGCTGGCCTAGAACTCTTAGAGGGCTTCCTGCCTCAGCCTCTTGTGTGCTGCGGTTACAGGAACGCGCTGCTGCGCCTGGCTTCTCTAGGAAGCCTGCTCAAGGCATCCAGAGTCCTTCCTTTTCCTCCTTTTGTTTCTTCTTCAGGGCCTTCTGGTCTATATATTCCTTTTTTTGTATATGAAGGACAGCAGCTTAGAATCTAGAACAAATCTCAAGTACAAAAAGCGTAGCCAAGGGACTTATATATAGTCCCACCAGTCAGAGTTCAGTCATGACACGGGGTACTGGGACATCTCTGTTGGGACTCGGCTGTGGTTTTTGTTGCTGAGAAGGCTTCAGACCCAGTTCAGCTTTTGTCTTTGGTCATGATCTTGCTGATGTGCTGTGGTCCTGGGTCCAGAGGTCTGCGATAAATGTGCTTCTCTCTCGATTTTCAAATGCTTTCTTAATGTCCTGCAGCACATTGCTCGTGCCATTGTGGTCCACCTCTCTTATTCCCTTAGCATAGATTCCTAGAAAGAGAAGTACTGGGTCAAAGAGGATGAATATTTAAAAAGCCTCTTGGGCCTGCTGCCAAGACTTCTGGAAAGCCCACGCTGCCTCGGCTGCCAGCGGCGTGCCTGCTCTGCGCCGCCCAGGGCCCCTTAGCAGAGAGCGAGGGCCCCAAATGACGCACATGGGCACCCGGACAGCAGAAGCTCACTGTGGTCTTTTATTTCTTCACCAAATAACACGGTTTCATTGTAAAAGAACCTGTAAAGGAAAGAATGGCAGCAGCTGGTTGGTTTTGTTCTGGGTTTTCTTTTTGGAGACAGGGTCTCCCCATTTAGCCTGGAGGTCACGGTCACTGTGGGAACTCGATGTCCCCAGGTGGTTCCCAGCCTGGCTGGAGACTGACTTGGTTGGAACCCTGGGCTCAGCTTGGCCAGTGGGAAGAGGGTGACACTGATCGCTGGAAGGGTCACATGCCTGCCCTAAGCAAGTTAGCTTGGCACAGCCAGGCCTAATCATGGGCTGTCCCCTTAGAGGCAGGAGGGACTCATGGGGACCACTCAGGCTGAGTGCTGGAGGGAAGAGTTCCCAAAGAAGCCGAGGTTCGTGGTGAGGTCATGCCGGTGGTGCTGCAGTGAATCTCAGTGGCAGCCTCAGCCAAGGCCATGGCTGCATGGTGGCTTGTTCTTCAGCTTGTGGTGCTCTGTGTCATGTGACAATGCCTGCATTGGAAGTGATGTGTGTCACCTGTTCCTTCTACCCGTGATGTGTTGGCCAGGGCTGAGCAGCACCTGGGATGGGACAGCAGAGAGAGGGACAGCAAGGTGGTGACTTCCCCAAGTGTCCCTTACACCTTCTTGCCCTATGGGGCTGCTTCTCGGCCTCCTGCTGAGAGGAAGCAGAGCCCTCCAGGCTGTGCTGGGGCCTCCTTTCCAGGGCTTCTGGGAGCCTTCCCTCCACAGGACTCAGGCCCTGGGGCGCTACGGTGCTGACCCTACCCAGCTGTGTGAGGCAGTGCTGGCTTGCCAGGAAAGCAGCTGTACTGGGGGACTGTCACTCAGTGTTTCTGAACCAGAAGGGGACGAGGACGCTGGTGGGAACTGCTCCTGGGAACCTCGGTCTGCACGCGCCGTCCAGGCCCTGTGCCGCAGCTTGGAGCTCTGACTTCCTCTGTGGGGCTGAGGCGAGGACCAGCACTGGGAGGTGATCCAGGAAGCCAGCCAAAAATAGTACTAAGGTGTGACTCAGCGCTGCGCGCCTGGGTGTGTGTCCAGAAGGGCTGGGAGCAGGGACCCAAACACAGTGGCCACAGCGAGAGCACCAGCCGCACTGGGGCCGGACGGGTGGAGAGCGTGGTGTGGGGTCGTGTTCAGCCTCCCAAAGGCGAGAGATGCAGCCCTGCTTCACCGTGGGTGCCAGGACATCATGTGAAGGCTACACGTCCTGTGACCCCACTTCTGGGAGGTCGGGGCAAGGTCGGATTCCAGAGATGAGTGGAATGGTGGCAGTGGGCGGAGGGAGGATTGTTGGTGGGAGCAGAGGGTCAGTTTTGCGGAGTTCTGAGGTGGGTTTCCATGGTGGTAGCGCAAACAAATGCGTGTACTCAGTGTTGCTGAATGCTAAAAATACCCCAGTTGGTGAATTTCTGTTACACATTGAACAAATCCCTAGCCACGTATGGTGGGACACACGTATAACCGGAATGTGAGAGGGAGGCTGAGGCAGGAGGATCACAGAGGCCTAGGCTAGCCTGGGCTGCCTGAGACCCTGTCTCAAATAAACAAACAAACGAACACTGAAGTCTCCAAAAGCTCGACCATGCTGGTGAGCCTACACATTGCTCTATGGTGGGATGTTAAGCAGTTTCTCTGTGCTTTGGAACGGAGCTGCGATTGCCCTGACCCGCCCAGGCGGCTCCTGGAGCTGTGTTTGTGCACCTGGCCCTGCGCTCCCTCGCTCCCACCATACAGTTTACTGCTGTCATCCTGAGTGCAACAGGAACTGGCATTCTAGCCTGGAAGCCGCTCTTGCGTCTGCTCCAGGAAAGCCCAGGCAGACTGGCAGGACTGCTCCCGCCTTCTTCCAGTCTGAGATTTGGACCGATCGATGGCTTCTCCCCCGGAGCGTTGGGCTCACTTTCCTGGCATGCAATCAATCCTGCTGGCCCCAGCTTCTTTTGGGTCATGGCTGCAGGGGCTGTGATCCCTGATGCTGTCGCCTGTGCTTCAAGAAACCTCCAAACACCCAGGTGCCGGCCTTCGTGTGGCGGATGTTGCCCGGGCCTTGGGCCTTGTGTCAGCAGGGTTTTCCTGCATGGCCTCTTGAGATTGAAGGGCAGGAGCAGACTTTCTTGCCAGCACCGCTTCTAAGTATAAACTTCCAGGAGAGCAGCTGATGGGGCTTCCCTTGCAAAGGCTGCCCCGAAAGTGGGGCTTTGGGTCATCTACAAGTGACGCCACACCACTGACATCATAGGGACGGCGCTCGAGGTCACATTCAGAAAGCAACCTCCGCTGCAGTGATCCGACTCTTCTAACCCTGAGCAAGGATGCACCCTTCGGGGGACACCCCCATGGGTCACCTCTTCTGACCAGGCTCCAGTCCTGAGAGCACATTGAGCTGTGAGTCCTGCAGTGGTTTATGTCCCTGATGGGTACAGGACTTCCACCGTCTGGTGGTCTTTGAAAAGACCTCCTGTCCCTCAACACAGGAGACCTCGGGGACGTTTTATACGTAAACTCTAACATCTCTTAGTTTTCTCATTGCTGAGACAAAATACTCAGCACCCACAGTGAAAGGGGGGAAGGCTGATGTGGCTCAGTTTGTAGAGGTTTTTGTCTGCCAACAGCTGGATTTGAGGCAGGGGGGCGTGGAGATGGGCACCACACGGAGAAGCAGTCCAGGGCGGCAGAAGGCAGCAGGGCAGCAAGGAAGGGCCTCAGCACCGCCTTTCTGCCCTTTCGCACAGGCTGCTGCGCGCGGGTGGTGCTCACACCCTTATTCCTGGCGCCCCGTGCCTAGCACTGCGCCGTGCACCAACCCCAGCACCACACACTGTAGATCTAGTCACCTCTGGAAAAGCCCCACTCATGACCACATGAGACTTTGTGGGACCCCCAGATACTGCCTAACGACCACTACACGGAATTGTGAGTACTAGGTCAAGCGTTCATTCTCGGGAAGCCTGTGGTGGTGTGAGCATAGGGTTGTGCTTGGCTGTTCAGTATAGAGGGCGCGATGCTGGCCTGTGTGTAGTGTGAGGCTCAGTACGTGAACTACATAAAAATATTAGTAGCAAATACAAAATTGGTCATTTTTTCCCCCTCTGGGTGGTGACATTTAAATTTCATGATTTTATCTAAAATCTGTAACTGGTGTGCATTTTCAGTTAGCACATGTTTTGCAGTACAAAATGATTACATTCCCTGTAAGCAACTGGTACAGGAGGAGAACACATCTTCATTCTTTTCCTTGTTACCCTTCCTCCCCCCGCTGGGACTCCTGACCCCGTTTTGTACACGTCCACAGTACCCAGGGGTCATCACACTCCTCAAGAGGAGTGGGTACTGTCACCCGACACATTTGAATTCCTTTTTTTAAAAAATGAAACTCCCCTCCACCTCCTTCCTCTCCCCCATCTCTTGGTCGCCTTTACCCAGAAGATCTAGCTCAGCCTGTGTTTTATTTATTTATTTATTCATTTATTTGCAGTACCGAGGATTGAACTCAGGACCTTGCGCTTGCCAGGCAAGCGCTTATTCTACTGAGCCATCTCCCTGGCCCAGCCTGTGTGTTTTAAATGAAGCCAGTCGTTTGTGCTGTTGATGCAAATACACCTCCAATGAGAGTTACATTCAGATACATGTAGGTGGGACATAATTCACCACTTCCAGACTCCTGGTCAGTGGTTGTCAGGGTGGTCACAGGAGGCCTTCAGCCACCAGCACTGCCACATTCATTTTTAAAGTGTTTTCCTCATCTCCCAAAGAAGTTCCACACTCACTGGCCATGCCCGTTCATCCTGCCCGGTCCCGCAGTCCTGTGTGCCCACCCTGTACGTTACATCCTGGCCCTGTGGTCTGTCTTCTGGGACACAGCAGGTGAGCATAGCCGTGTGGCTTGTGGCCCTGCAGAAGCGGGCTCTGCAGCGAGCACACTTTAAGCGCTGAAGTGCGTGGCTCTTGGACTCAATTGAGAAATCACACTGACCTGTGTGTGTAATGTGGCGTCCCGCCATCCTCCCTTTGCTCCTAGAATTGGTTCCTTCACTCATGAGCAACCTGCTGAATCCAGATGCCATTTTCTCCAACAATGAAATGAGCCTGTCGGACATCGAGATCTACGGCTTCGATTACGACTACACCCTGGTGTTCTATTCAAAGCACCTCCACACGCTCATCTTCAATGCGGCTCGGGACCTTCTCATCAATGAGCACCGGGTAAGGTCACCAGTCTTGGGGGCCTGGCCAAGATCCCCACCTGCCTGTATGAAGGGTTTTGTGCAGGATGAAATAAAAGACAGAACAAACTTAGTAATGCATAGAAGGGGGCAGGGAGGTCAGCACCTCAGGGTGGGCAGAGACAGAGGCTCTGGGTGCAGCCAGTGCTTACTGGATGTCCACAGTGTTGGGGGGATCAGAGGACACAGAGGGTGGTCTTAAGCTAATGAGGATCTTGCGCTGGAACATCTTTAGGCTTGGGAGAGGGCAGCCCAACCCTCAGGGGATGATGGGAAGGCTCTTGTGGTGATGCCAATCATCCCCAGCCTCTGTTCATCCCTGAGGGGAGACAGTGAACCAGCCCTTGTGAATTTGTGTCCCCAGCACGCCTTCACGGGGCCCTGCCCTCTCCGTGGGTATTAAAGAACAGGCAGGCAGGTCCCTCCTGGCCGCGCCACTGCCTGCCTTCTGGAAGCTGTTTAGTAAGTTGATGCTGAGCAGGTGCGCGGGCCTTGTTTCTCTGCAGATTTCTGGGTGACGCTGCTCTGGAAGACAGCTGTGTTTAGAGAGGTCTTTGTCCTTTGTGTCTATATTTTTATGTTTATTTACCTCTTGTGCAAAATAACACCTGAAGGAGGACCCGGTGTCTTGGCTGAGTGCATCTGTTCTCCCTTGTTTGGGTAGGACAGCACCCGGTCCTTGCACAGCCCCATGACCTGCCGCCTCGCAACTTCTGGTTACGAGGACCCCCTCAGACGCTATGATGCTTTTCCTGCAGGCCTGGCTGGATCGCTTGCTTCTATAGAGTATTTGAATGGCTTCTGACACAGAGCATTTTTGAGGTTGTAATGGGGAAAAGAAAGCCAGCCCTGAGCTCCCCACACATGCTCCTGCAGTGGCTCAAGGTGCTGCCACTGGCCAGTGTCCAGGGCCAGCTCCTGTGAGCGCTCCACCCCTGCCCAGGAAGTGGGGTGGCCACAGGCCAGGGCGCCTTGTGCAGCTTGCCTCTCTTCTGTCCCTCCTTCCCTGTGTTCCCTGGAGCCTTCCTGCCATGCCTCCAGGAGCAAGGCTGGCGCAGAAGCACGGAGGCTGAGGATGGATGGATCCCAGTGTTGCCATGGAGACCTGGCTGGCCTGAGGGTGTGGCCAGCCGGCTGGGCCCGTGCAGTGCCGAGCCAGGGAAGGGGCCAGCAGGACAGATGACCAGTGTGGGGGTGTGGCTGGGGACCCAGACCTGCATGTGCCCACGTTCCCCCAGACTTCTCTTTGTCCAGACTGCTGTGTGTTCCAGGTCATTCTCATGCGGTCGTCCTCTACTGTAGGGGCTCTGGCTGGTGTGGGGACTACAAGCAGAAGCTCTGAAGTGAAGACGCTACAGGGTGTAGCTGAGGCTTGAGGGTGGGGCGTCACCTCCCTGGTTCTGGACACTGTGCTTTTACTAACGCAGCCAGTTTCCTGCAGCTCTAGAGCCTGGCCGTTTGAGCCAGGATGTTCCCTGATCCCTTTGCCATGACGCCCAGGCTGAGCCTGAGCATGTGTCCGTCCTGCTTCAGCCTTCCACGTGGTGGGATTAGGGTGGGCACGCTGCACGCAGCCCTGACCCTGTGCTTTCTTTTATCACTTGGTTTAAGCATCTCATGTTTTCTAGACCTGAAATGTCAAGAGGCATTTGGCAAAGATAGCCTTTCCTTTTGCTGCCCTGGAAGAGTAATGTGGCTGCCCTGCCTCTCTTCAGCCACCCTACACCGGGGCTGTGGCATCTCACCTCAGGCCAGCTGCAGCTTCCTCTCTCCCTCCCTCCCTCCCTCCCTTCTTTTCTTTCTTATTTTTTGAGAGAGGGTCTCACTATGTAGCCCGGGGCTGGCCTTGAACTTGCAGGGATCCTCCTGCCTCAGCCTCCTGAGTGCTGGGATTGCAGGTGTGCACCACCACACCCAGCAGGCATCAGCATTTTCTGGACGTCGATGTGATCCTGAGGTACAGGGCGCTGTCCCGACAGTGCTGCTGTCGATTGCTCAGGGCAGGGATGATGATGGCCTCGAGCCGACTCCGGGCACGTCTTTCTCGCTGACTTCTCTCTTCACCCTGACCAAATCACCCAGTTTCTGTGGAACTCAGCGCCCCCCCTCCCCAGTGTAAAGTGGGCCTAGTGAGTGCTTTCTGCAGGGGCACCTAGAACATGCGCAGTGGCTGTCACCCGTTGTGATTTTTATTGTTTCTAACTTCATGACAGCCCTCACCCCTCTGCTTTACATCTGCAGAAACTGAGCCTTGGAGCCTTAAGCTGCTGCTCGCTGCGGGCCAGCAGGCGACCGCTTTGCTCCCCATCTGCCTGTTTCCATGGTGCTGAGCACACCTTTCTTCCCTGTGGGTTGTTGTTCAGATGAAAATTAAAAATTCATGAAAATGAAACATTTATGAACATAAAACATTTACGAAATTGGGAGGGGGCCGAGAGAAAGCTGGCGCAATAGACGGCGAGTCACGGGGTGGACCCCTTGGGCAGAGGAGCACCCAGGTCCTCTTGCACGATGCCTGCGTGGCCTGTCCAAGTGTCACAGTCTTAATTATGGCAGCTGACCGATGGAGTGGTTGTGAGGACGCCGATCTTTCTCCTGCTCTCATGAGGCACAGTAATTCTTCCAAGAAGCGCGGGGCGGGCTCTGTTCTCCCTGCCAAGACCAGCAGCTCTCTGTGCCTGTGGGGATATAGGGACATTTGTTTTTGAGACACAGTCATGGAACAGGAAGCCTGCAATTTAGAGTCTTTCCAAAAATTAAATGTAAGAAGTTCCAGCTCCTTCATAATTAATTTTTAAAAAATCAGAACAAATTTTGATAAAAATGGAAAATTTAAAGAACCAGGTAGTCCTGCATAATGACAGCTGGCATTTTCCTTCACACGTCCGCCAGCGACCTGGGAAGAGCCATTTGTGGAAGGGCTGTGGGCTTCCTCCTCAGAGTTCACACACAGGCAGCATCACATCGGCGGGCGCTGGTGGTCACCCGCTTGTCACCCCCGAAGGGGACCGTCCTGTCACGCCCCTTGGCCCAGGTCCCGTACCCACGCTGTCGGCAGGTCTGTGAGCCTGTTCTCTCTTGGTAAAACATGTGCAGTTTTGGGTTGTTAGCGGCTGAGGCTGGGCGAGGTGGCACACACCTGTCATCCCAGCACTTGGGAGGCTGAGGCAGAATTGTCATGAGCTGAAGATCAGCCTGCGCTGCACCGAAAACCAGAAGTGGCAAGATGGCAGGAGCTCCTGTTCCCGTCCCTGCATGATGAAAGCCTCGGGATCACTGTGTGCTTTGTCTGTTCTGTGCCTTCTATGACGTCCGTCTGACCCTGTTCAGGACACCGAGCTAGTTTCCGTCTCCATAGGCTCCTATGGCTTTGGCAGTGTGACTTCCTCCTAGTTTGGTGGCTTTGACAGTTGTGAGGAGTGTTAGTCAGAGTGTGTAGGATGCTCCTCTCTTGGGATTTTTTTTTGGTTTGGCCTCGAATTTTTGGTGATCTTCTTGCCTCAGCCTCCCAGTGCTGGGATCCCAGGTGTATGCCACTGTGCCCAGGCTCAGAGTTGATTATGTGATGGTGCTGGGGCTGGGCCTTGCGTGACCAGGCCTGGTTCAGTACCAGGCCACTCCTGCATGGTTTTGTGACTCCAGACGGGGTGCCAGCTCTGCTCCTCAGATTATTCAGCAGTGAAACAGGCCTTGGTGGTTGTCTACTGGCGTCGCAGGGTAAGCAGTCACGAGTAGGCCTGGCCTGGTGAGGCCCGCAGCCACCCTGGGAGAGGGCCAGTGCTTCTGATCCTCCAGGGTAGAGGTCTCGAGGCTACCACTGGTGGCAGAGCCGTGTCGCTGTAAGGGGCCTGCGTGGGCTGTGTCACGTGTGTCCATGGAAATGCGGCTCCGCCCATGGCGCTCAGCCTGGAGATGCCCACAGGCAGGAATGGCCACTTGGCTAGAAGGGGTTCATTGAGGAACCCAGCGGAACCTTTGAGTCAGAGCTTCCTGCAACCAGGCTTGAAGGCCTGCTATGTGCCTTCAGCCTGGTGCAGTGGGGAAAAGTCACCTGCCTGTGGCCTGGCCACGAGGAGATGTGGCCTGGCATGGCATGGCGTGGCATGGTATGGCAAGCAGCCTTCTAGGTTTGGATGAGCTGGGTCACTGCTTGCACGGTTTCTATCCCATGCCAGTTCAGGTCAGGAGCAGAGTGGCAGGGGGCTGAGGCTGACTCTGTCCCCTGGCCTCAGGGTGGCTCGGGCTGGGTCCTTGGTGCCGTGATGTCCCCTTGGGCAGGAGTGGTTTGACAGCTCGGAGGCTTGGGGTGCCTCCTGGGCCAGCGGGTGTGGGGGCTGCAGTGTGAGCGCTGGGCTGGCGGTTGTGGGGCAGGTTGTGCTTGGGATAGTGGGTGGGGGCAGTCTGGCTGCTGCCCATTGCAAACAAGAGGCAGCGATGGGTCGGGGCAGAAGTGGGTGGGCTTAGCGGTCTGAGAGACCTGGGCAGAGGGAAGGGAATGCGAGGTTAGGAGGAGAGGAGCCAGGAAGGATAGATCCAGGGGTGCTGGGCAGCAAGGGGGTGCTGGGGCCAGGAGATGGTGACTCGGCGGCGCCGAGGGACAGTGTGCTCTGTCCCGCGCTGCCTCCCCCAGTCACCTGGACAAGGCCAGGGCTGGACCCTGGGGGTGCTGCCAGCTGAAGTGCGTCTTCCTCTTCGCAGTACCCCGCAGAAATCAGGAAGTGTGAGTACGACCCCAGCTTCGCCATCCGCGGGCTGCACTACGATGTCCACCGGGTAGGCTCCCTGCTTGAAAGAAAGCGCTCTCTGCTGAGGGGGAATCTTGGGTTTAAATTGTGTCCTTTGGGGCTGCAGAGCCACCTCGTTCCAGGGGATTTGCGGAAGGAAGCCTTCTGGAGGGGACTGAGTGTGGGAAGGCAAAAGTGTGTGTCCCTCTTGGGCAGGAGTTTTGCTGTCATTTTCTTGTGGCTGGAGGAGGAGCCAGTTGCCATGTCTGGTTTTCTTTTGCTGACCAGCCATTTCGTCATAAAGCACTTCTGGCTGGGGTGGTGGTGTACACCTGTGATCCCAGCTCTGGGAGGCTGAGGCAGGAGGAGCGCACATTCAAACTCCGCCTGGGCAATTAGCCATTTAATGAGGCTCTGTCTCAAAAAATAAAAAATGGGCCAGAGATGCAGCTTTGTGGGAGGCCCTGAGTTTAATCCCCGGGGATATAGAAAACAAAGAAATAAAAATCACTCTATATAAGGAGGAGGGCCGTGGGAAGTGGTGGTTCTGCTGCAGGCAGCCCAGCAGGCTTTGTCACCAAGCGGACTGTGCCTCGTCCCACGTGCAGGTTGGCCCGCTGCTGACCTACGCCTGTGTCTGTTTGTTTAAAGGCAGTGTTGATGAAGATCGATGCCTTTCACTACATCCAGCTGGGCACCGTTTACAGGTAAGAGAGTCGGGCGAAGCTGCTGCCCACAGCGGCCTGTGGCTCTGCTGTGCTGGAGGAGGCGGACGGGGCCTCCTGCCCTGTCCCTGGCGAGAGTTTGGCTGCAGGGTCTGCTCAGGTGCCACAATGCAATCAGGGGAGCAGCTGGGGTGTGGCAGATGGCGGAGGTCCTGCCCTCAGAACTCCTGGGGAGCCCTCCCCTGACCTCACCCCACCCCCAGCCCTGGGCATGGAGTTTATGGATGTATTTCTCTTAGATAGAAATGTTTATAACTTTTTTTTGTGGCCAGCTCAGCCGACCCTGGGGGCAGGGCTGGTGTAGCATGTGGTTCCGGGGATGGAATGCTGAGCTGTCTTGCCAGCCCCTGTAACTTACTTTCTTTCTTTCTTTCTTTCTTTCTTTCTTTCTTTCTTTCTTTCTTTCTTTCTTTCTTTCTTTCTTTCTTTCTTTTTTTTGCAGTACTAGGGATTGAACTCAGGACCCTGCACTTGCCAGGCAAGCGCTTATTCTACTGAGCTAACTCCCCAGGCCCCCCCCCCCCCGAACTTTTTAAATTGAAGCTTTGGCCTCTTAAATGCTGTCATTTGGGTGAGAGATTTGTGTCCAGTTCCTTCCTAGACCCTAAGGAAGGTGCCCCTGTCCTCACCTAGGCTCTTCTCTCTGAGACTTCCATTAATTGTCTTTGAAGTAGAGAAATAGGTCACGAAAGGAAGCTAGGAACAGCAGTGCCACAGGGGACAGGGGTAGACCTGTGTGCTCCCTTCTGCCCGCTTCAAATGCTTCGGAGGTTTTGTCTCCTGGTCTCCTTCCCGGCTCCCCTTCTTTCTCCCCTTCCCTCTCCCCTGTCCCCGTTTCTTTCTCTCTCCACCATCCACACACATAATGTATAAATAGACATATGCTGGCTCTTCTGCCTCCTGCTGTCTGTCAGATGTAGGCCCTGCTGTGGCAGAGGAGGACGAGGCTCCCTGGCACACTGTCCCTCTCCCGGTCACTGTGAATCCTCCCAGAGCCTCAGTGTCCCCGCTGTGGGCCACCTCCGTCAGCATGGCCCTTTCCCATTAGTAGGCCCCTTTGGCCTGGTCTCTAAAGCTAGCAAGTGCACCGGGAGTGTTTCTTCCTGGTGCGATGTCTGGCTTTCCTTCCACATACTAATCTTGTCTTTTATTTGCTCAGTTCTCTGCATGGGTGTCTTAGTCACTTTCCGTTGCTGGGACACAGTGCCCGACACCCACAGCTTAAGGAAGGAAGGGTTTGTTTTGGCTCCATGTATGGTCCATAGTCCACGGGCCCCAGGCAGGGTCAAGAAGCTGAGGAGAGGGACAGAGGGAAGGAGGAGGTGGACCCCCAGCCTGCACCTGCTGATGCCTCCTGAGCAAGTGTCACCTCCCAGGTCATGCTTGGCTGTGAGCTCGCTGGGACCCGACCCAAGCCCCATGGCTTGGTCACCTCCCAAAGACCCCAGTTCTGAAGCCCTGAGGCTTGCGGGATGGGGGTAGGGGGTGAGTGTGTGGTTGTAAACTCTAGCAGTGGCTTTCCCTATTTTTCCCCCAATGTCCGCTACCTTTGTCAAGTATGTATGTGGTTTTCAATAATAATAATAATAATAATAATAATAATAATAATAATAAGTGCTTTTTGAGCTAGGGTCTTGCAGTGTAGCCCAGGCTGTCCTCAGACACATGGTGGTCCTCCTTCCTCAGCCTTCCAGGTGCTGCGATGACAGGCATTTGTACCATGTCCAGCACTTCAAATGTTTTTGATGATCTCTTATTTTTCCCTGTTTAAATTGCTTGTTCCCTCCGCACTACACCCTCAGCCCGTTATAATTTATTTCAAATTTTGAGACAGGGTTTCATTAGGTCTCTAGTTCGGGTTAGGTTGGAACTTGTAGTCTTCCTGCCTCAGCCTCTGCTTGCTGGGTGACAGCCCCGTTGGATCGGTGTCAGGCAGCTGTGCACAGCTGGGGGAGGCGGGTGGCTCTCGCTGCAGCCCGTGGCTGTGTCTGTCCCTGTTTTCAATCCTGGGAGCCCTGTGAGAAGCTGTGATTGGTGGCATTGTGGGCACGCGGCACAGGCCAGCTGCCCCTGGCAGCCCCTCTCTTCCCCCTGAGTCAGGACACCTAGGCCCAGCGGGCCCCTGTGATTGATCCAGGAAAAGCCCCTGGCCATGTGGGGAGTGGGGATTGGAGCCACAGAAAGGTGGGGCAGCCCTGCACTCCCCCCATCCCTGGAGGCAATGAGGCCGGTGCTGGTCGAGGTTGCTGCAGTCCCACAGGACCCGACTGTCCCTGTGCCCCCCCCCCAGCCCTGGGTAGCTGCCTCTGGGGATGGCTGATGGCGTCTTTGGCTCTGATGCTTAGTGGCTTGGGCCCTAGGGTTCAGCCTGCATCTGTGGTGGCTCAGCAGCTGGGCCTGAGTGGACACAAACGCCCCTGGCAGTTGTGTCCTGTGTGTGTTTGTCTGTAGTCCAGGCTACCTTGAACCTGTGTGTAGCCCAGCTTGGCCTAGAACTTGCAGTGACCCTCCTGCCTGAGCCTCCCAACTCCTGGGATTACAGGTGTGCACCCAGGGCCGGCCGCCAGTGGCATTTCTTAAACATAATCTCAGAACACAGGCTGTGTTGAGTTGCGCGCCGAATGGTCAGTCTGTGTCAGTGATAAAATCTGTGCCGGTTCCTTGACATCCCTGCTGAAGCACAGCGTGCACTTCCGGCTGTGGCATCCTTGTCACCGTTCATTTCTGGAGTGCAGAGGAGCTGGATTCCTAGGCAAGCTCTGAGGCGGCAGGTGGCCAGGGCTGGTTCGTCCTGGCACCGAGGAAGCTGGGCACAGTGTCACCGTGCTCCCTGCCCCGATACCTGCCCTTTCCCCCAGTGCCCATCCACAGCAGCTTCTCTACCCTCAGGTGTGAATGATGTTGACAAAGAAGGCTGCCCAGTGCTCTAGGGGCATCTGGGAGCCTGGTGCTGCAGGAAGCCTGGTTCTGTGCCTGTGTGGCCCGGCCGGAGATGGGTAGAGCAGTGTGGTATTGCCTGCTGGGAGGGCTGGGGAGCAGGCCCTGCCTGTGCGTACCAGGTGGGGGCCACAGTGTCCATTACGGACCCTGCTGGTGTCCCCACCGGGGCAACGTGTCACCCGGTGCCTTTGGCATCTGTGGGGAGACTCCGCCTCTCAGCGGCCATTCCAGGTGGCCTGAGTCCTTGATGGCGCTGTCTGCTTTTCCCAGAGGCCTCAGTGTGGTCCCCGACGAGGAGGTCATCGAGATGTACGAAGGGTCGCACGTGCCCTTGGAGCAGATGAGCGACTTCTACGGGAAGGTAACGGCACTGCGTCCCCGGGAGCATGGCCACTGAGGGACAGCGCACCTGGTGGCTGGGTGGCATCTGAGACCACGCCAGGGACTGGTGTGGGGAGGCTTCCTGGGCTGGGTCCCCGGTTCCTTTCTCATTGCTCTTCCCTCCCATCCCCACCTTTGCTGTTTATCACTGCCTGTGAGGTGGGTCCCCACTTGCTGGCATGACCGCTAGGGGCCATCGGTGTGAGACTGGGCACCCGGAGAGAAGGGACAGGGCCACTCTCACCCCATCTCCCCTGGATGAGATGCCTGCTGTGCTGTGAAGGGTGAGAAACAAGGAGAACACTTTACATCTCTGTTATTATGATCTCCTAGCTAGGCATAGTGGTGTAATCCCAGCACGCCTGTAATCCCAGCACCCTGGAGGCTGAGGCGGGTGGATCCCAAGTTGTAGCTCAGCCTGGGCAGCCCGGCTCCTTATCGAGAGGCCCCATTTCTGTATGAGAATCTCTTTTTCTTGTCGACCACCTGGGCCTGTTCTGGCTTCCCTGCTTGCGGGGCCCTGGGTCCAACCCTCCTCCCTGTCCACAGAGTTCCCATGGCCACACCATGAAGCAGTTCATGGACATCTTCTCCCTCCCGGAGATGACGCTGCTGTCCTGCGTGAACGAGCACTTCCTGAAGAACAACATCGACTACGAGCCCGTGCACCTGTACAAGGATGTCAAGGTGAGGCTGGGGACCCTGCGGCTGGACCTCCCCAGTGACTGGGGGTGGGGCTACTAGTGTGTTTCTGAGCTCGGTGGTGGTGCATGCCTGGCATCCCAGTACTCAGGAGGCTGAGGCAGGAGGATCGCCTGGAGCAGAATGCCTGCCTGGGCCACACCGTGAGTTTGAGGCCAGCCTGCACTACACAGGGTGACCCTGCCCCCAAAACCCAAACAAACCAAAAAATCATGTGAAAGTCGCATGGGGGAAGGGTGTGGCTGGAATGCATGTGCAGAGCCCCTTTTGTATGTTCTGACTTACATTCCTGACCATGTATGTGTACATGTGTTTTTCACTTTCATTAGATTGTGGGAACTTTTTCAGTATCTAAAAATGCTTTGATGTTATTTACTTGATGTATATTTGTATGTATTTGTAGTATATAAAATACTTTGGGTGTGTATTTATATGTAATGTTTGTTGACTCAAATATGTATAATTTAAAAAGATACAAATTAAAAATATGCTTTTGTTCTGTTTATGAGTAAAGTTTTGACTCTTCCAAATCCTGGAATTTAGGGAGATGAAAGATAAATTGTAGATTTTCCATATCAGCCTAGTATTATTTGAGCTAAGTGTAAATATTCATTTAGTTACTTTGTTTTTCTGAGGCAGGGCCTCACAGTATAGCCCGGGCTGCCCATCGTCCTCCTGCCTCAGCCTCCCGAGCGCTGCGATTATGGGTGGCACCGCTCGGCTCACCTTGAGTGTTCAGTTTCTGCCCTGCTCTTTGCTCAAGGGCACTTCATCTTTAGGAGTCATGCTAGGAGCCCTCTGCATTCGTGAGGAGGCGTTCATTGTGAGCTCAGTGCCGAGTGCGTGGTGTGCATTGGCTCAGCAGATCCTGGGGTGGGGCATGACGAGGCACAGAGAGGTTGTGTAACCTGCCCCGGCTCACACAGCTCCAGGCAGCAGAGCCTGCTGTGTGAGGCTTGTTACAGGCTTGTGTAACTGAGGCCTGCTTCCTCCAGCTGCCTAGGCATCGGTGATTTTGCCAGCAGCCAAGGTCCCTGCTGTGTGTTCATACTGCTCCGGAGCAGGCTCTGAGTTGGCACTGGTTCAGGGGGCTGCCACCCCTGAGCCTGCCCAGCCGGACCATCACCTCTTCCCCTGCCCCCTGTGCTGCCATATGTCAGTCAGGTCAGCTCTGTCTGAGGATCAGCTCTGTGATAGGCTCCAGCTGCTGGTGGCACCTAAGGGTGGGTCCAGCCTTTGGTCTGTGTCCGGGTTGCTCAGTCGGGTTGGAGCCAAGGGAGGGCAGGGAGGTGCCTAAGCCGGGCTCTTCCGGCAGGTGGCTGAGGTCTGCTGTCAGGACTGCCCTGTGGAATGTGATTCAGAATGTGATTCACGCCCCTGGGCAACTTCTTCCAAGTGAGCCTCCCCCAGATGGCACTGCAGCTGCCCCTGTCCCCTGGAGCCCTATGCTGTCCCTAAGGCGCTGTGTGTGCAGGCAAGCAGGGTTTAGACTTCTTAAATGCGTGGCTTGTTAGCTTACAGGGGCAGATGTTAGGGCCTATGCCGGCCCACGTCTGCACTCACTGATGCCCTGTGTGTCTTCCACAGGACTCCATCCGTGATGTCCACATCAAAGGGATTATGTACAGAGCCATCGAGGCGGACATTGGTAGGTCCTGGACAGGTCCGTTGCTCATGCCACTGTGGGCAGGACTTGGCGTCCCCAGCTTGCAGGCGTCTCTTTTGAGTGTCCTGCACAGCCCTGACCCTGGCTTTGTGCGGGTCTCCTGCCCTGTGGTTGGCTGCAGCCACGTAGTCTCTCGGCTTAGTTCCAGGAGTGGGGTCTCCGCTTGCTGTCCTGGTCCTGTGCTCCGGAACCAAGTGCCCTAAGACTTCACCCCCCACTGCGCCCCAGCTAGTAAGCGCTCGCAGGCCACCGCCTTCCCGCCCCACCTGGGAGTCTCTCTCTGCCCTCAGAGAAGTACGTCTGCTATGCGGAGCAGACCCGCGCGGTGCTGGCCAAGCTGGCGGATCACGGCAAGAAGATGTTTCTCATCACCAACAGCCCCAGCAGCTTCGTGTGAGTGGCCCGTGTTCCCGCCGCTGCAGCCTCGCTTCCTCATGCCGTTTCCTGTAGACGAGGGAAGCTGGGAAGAAGCATTGGCAGAAGTGGTTCCTCCCTCTAACTTGGGGCCGCGCGGGCCTGTTGTTCCAGGGACAAGGGAATGAGGTACATCGTGGGGAAGGACTGGAGGGACCTGTTTGACGTGGTCATCGTGCAGGCGGAGAAGCCCAACTTCTTCAACGACAGGCGCCGGTGAGAGTCCGCCCTCCCCGGGCACTGAGCGAGGGCAGCGTGTGGGGAAAGCTGGTTGGACTCTGCTCTGGATTTGTCGCCCTGCTAACAAGCCACTGCGGGGTGGAGGAGTTGGCAGAGGGAGACGGTTCTCCGTCCCCCTGGCTGTAGCAGACCCCGTGAGAACGCAGCAGGCCAAAACACAAGAGTGAGGAGCCCTTAGGAAGTCAGGGGTTCGGCTGCAGACTCATGGGGAAGCCTGAGGAGAGCTAGGCCACAGGTAACAAGAACCGCCACCCGGCCGTGGGGGTGGCGAGTGCGAGGAGTGTGTCTGCGTGTTGGTGGGAGTGTGAGCTGGACCCCCACAGTGGAAATCATGTGGCGCGTCCTCCAGACATGGGAAGTAGGACTTGCGTCTGGCCCAGCTGATCCCCTTCTGGGTGTCCTCCGTGGGACTTAGAAGGTCGTTGCATTGCAGCGACCCAGGCGTAGCCCTGCTTGCAGCGGCGCAGTGGACAGTAGCTAACTCTGGAAGCAGACTGTCCTCCCACCAACGATGGATGGGTGAAAAGTGGGCCTTACGCGCAGTGGGCACTCCGGTGCCACAGAGAGGGCTGAGTGAGTTGTTTGTAGGAAAATGGGTGCACCTTGGAGGCCTTGGTGTTAGGTGAAAGGAATCTGGCCCACGCGCGTCAGTGTCACGAGCTTCCTCTTACGCAAGAAACCCAATGTGTGAATAACCCTGAAGCCAATACAAGGTAGATAACAGGAAGCCCCCATCTGTGGGCTTGAGAATTCCTGCCTGAGGGCCCCAGAATAGCGCCTCTTTAACAGCGGCCAGCTTGGGAACACTTACCCATGTTTCTCTTGCTGCAAGTTGGTGGCCAGGCAGCCTTCTCCTTGGCTGAAATTCTGGGGTCCTGGTGACCCCCAGACCATGTGTGGAGATGAAAGGTACAGGGCAGGGTTGAGAGCCTCAAGGACTGTTGCCTTGCCCCTCGGACTTCTGTGGGTGCCCCATGGCTGCTGTGCCCGTGGCGGGGCCTGAACCTGGGGCCTGCACACTGATGCACCCCTTACCTTGCTGTTGATGTGGACAGCTACAATAATACCCGCACTGTATTTAGTGAGAAGTCAGACTCAACCCTGAGCCAGGGGCTGGGCAGGCCGGCCAGTGCAGCACATCTGGACCAATACCCGGGGGACGAACGGGGACAGTGAGACCCCAAGACACCCGAGGGGAGAGGATTATATGTACGTGTTTATACAAGGCTTTGAAACTTGCATGGCCAGCACATGCTGCCCTTGAATAGGGCAGGTAGTGGGATTCAGGGGTTTGCAGTTGGTGGAGGAGCTGCTTGCTGTTGCCCGGCCTGGGCCTTTGCCCCGTGTTGTAATGTTTCCCGTTTCTGTCACCAGACCTTTCCGAAAGGTGAATGAGAAAGGCGTCTTGCTCTGGGATAAAATCCACAAGTTGCAGAAGGGCCAGATTTACAAGCAGGTACCTCCCTTCCTCCCTCCCCTTGCTCTTCCTCCCCTGCCGATCCCTCCTGTCCTCTCTTGTCCCTTTTCCTGCAGCTGGTGGTCTGCATCACAGCCAAGGCCGGGCCGAGGCTTCCTGGGCGCAGGCCCCCAGCGAGGTCCCTTGAAGCCCCTGCTTGTAATGGAGGCTTCCACCAGCATCTTTCTAATTTGCGAGTGCCCGAATTAACTCAAAACTGAATAGTTTTCTAAAACTGAAATTAAGATATGAATTTTTATGGAATGTCAAATTTAAGATGCTGATAGGTAACTAGAAATTTCTAGGACACATTCACCAGTGTCGTATATACCCTGATCAATAATTATCCCCCCATGAGAGATGTTTTTTGTACAGCTTTAACAAGCTTTGTCGTATAAGGTTCTGAAGTGTTTGAAAGAGAATTGCTGAGCATTATTGTGTGTTTTTGTAATATTTATTTTCCTTATTCTTTTTTTCCTTTTTTTATTAGTGATGTGTTCTAGGTGGTTTATAGCAACCTATTGGATTTGTCAGAAAGTATATTTTCCAGGCTTTGAAAAATTAGATTTGATACACCATTTTACTTACAGAAAATCAACCTGAGAAAATTAAGATACACTTAATAAAACTTCCGTACGAGAGTATTTATTACAGAGTAACTTAAAAGTACGTCTCAGTGTCACTGGTCAACATGGAGACACTGAGGGAAATAATCCTGCTGCTTTTTGGCTTCTCTGGGGATAAGGAATTGATATTTGACAGCATAGAGAGTTTGGCAGGGAGGGCCGGCCAGATAGTTCAGCAGACTGACACGCCTGCTTAGGCAAACTCAGGGACCGGGGTTCGATCTGTATTGTGTCATGCTGGCCCCACCCCTGGAGCACACTGAGCCGGGGACTGAGACTGGGCGTGGTGGCACGCGCCTGTAATCCCAGTGCTTGGGAGGCTGAAAACAGGAGGATCACTACGAGTCCCGTCTGTGTAGTGAGACCCTGTAGTGTGTGTACTAAATGCATCAAATAAAAAAGAGAGAGGAAGAAAGGTAGGCATGGGGTGTTGATTGTAACAAGGTAGTTGCAGGAGGTGTTCATGGTGTGACACCTTTTCAAAAGTACATTGATATACAGGCCAAGCCAAGATTTCCTAGGAAGGTGTGTTCATCTTTACATTGTAATATTTCAGGTAAAAAGCAAAACCGCTTTTTAGAAATAGACATTCTGGGCTGTTTCTTTCACTTGATCGTGTCTGTACTTTTCTCATGTTACAGGGCAATTTGTACGAGTTTTTGAAGCTCACCGGCTGGCGCGGCTCCAAAGTGCTGTATTTTGGTGACCACATATACAGTGACCTGGCGGTAGGCGGCCTGTTCGCTGCTGTTGGGGGGACAGAGGAGTTGGTCTCTCATGTTTGCCGATTTCTCTTTTGGTGTTTATGGTTTATGAAAACATGAGTGGGCCGCATTTTTAGGTGTCTCCTCATAACAGTGCGGTAGCTCAGGGTTGTGGAAAAGATCAGTTTTTGGAAGCTGGTACAAATAAGAAATTCACTTGGTCAGAAAAATGTTCCCACTGGAGTAAGAGTGAGATGTAGATGCCAAGGGACCTCTTTTCTTTTCCTTTCTTCTGTGTACCCAAAACAGTCAAAGCACAAGACTGAAGCCCGCAGTCCTCAGCCGGGCCGGTGGCCCCTTGCGCCCTAGAATCAGCCTGGCGCCTGTGGGCCAGGGACACAGGACCGCAGCTAGCTTAACCCACACGGAGCGGGGCAGCGGTGTTGGGTCCAGGGCTGCCCACGGCTCCTGCAGGACGTGGTCTGCACTTGCTAGCGATTGTGGGTCCCTCTCTCGTGTTTCACTTCTAGAAGCCCAGGCACAGAGTGGTGTCAGGAGGGTGGTGGCTGCCACCAGCCCCATGATTGCTGTCCCTGAGGCACCTTCCCAGAGCACCTGGGTGCTGCCCTCAGGCTAGATCTGAGGGCTGGTTCAAGGCACCAGGCAAAAGGGGCATTGTTACTGATCAGTCGGCACACACTTCAGCCTGTGGGGTGTCCCAGGTGACGTCTGTCGAGTTTTAGTGATGGTACCCACCTTCCAGAGGTTGCTCCCACTGAGAATGTTGGGAAGAATGTGACTTAGGTTTTCATATTGTAAATAAAGAAATATTGAAAGGTTTTGAAGATTTAAAGGGTGCAGGAGCGGGGCTGAGCTTTAGAGAGCCAGAGTCCGTTTCTCCTCTTAAACCCCGAGGCCTTTTCTCCCTTGGTGGATCCACCTGGGACCCACGGCTGTGCTGTTGGTCTCTGTTCCCCATGCGGCCTCTTGGAAGCCACCCCCTGCCTCTGCCCTCGTCCTGATGCAGAATCCCTGCCCCCGGGCCTCTGTGCTCGCTGCTGTCTAGGTGGAACCATTTTCTGTCCCTCATACTTCCATCCATCCCCATCTTCCCTCAGGTCTCTGTGCAGAAGGCCTTTATTAACTGTTCTTCCCAAATACCCTGTGTAATGAGGCCACCTCCCTCCCTGTTCTCCCTACCCCCTGTGCCGTGTGACCTTTGCCCCTTGGGCCTGTTGCCACCTGCCGCTGTGTATTTACTTGCTTGCTTGTTTCCTGTGAAAGCAGGAGTTTGTCTTTCGTGGTCATTGTTGTTCACCGCTTCATCTTCAGCATCTAGAACAGGAGCCGGCTGACTAGCACCTGATCGCACGTGCCAGGTGGGCAGGTGCCTGGCCAGTTAGTATTGCTTGCTAGTCTAGGCTGGCCTCAAGCTGACGGCGATCCTCCTGCCTCAGCCTCCCACTTGGGTGCTGGGATTGCAGGTGTGCACCTCTATGTCTGGCATGGTCTGTGCTTGAGTGAAAACCTTCACTGGTATTTAGGGGCGCTCCCCTGCGCTCCTGACCGTGGCTAATGATTCCAAGCCCTGTGCTTTTGGTTGTTGTTATTTTGTTTTTTCCCCAAGGCCTGGGTTTCCGCAGGAGCTGACTCAACAGAGCTGGAACTCTTGGGGGAGGTGGTCAAAGCCTCAAGCCCTGTTGCTTTTTTTTTTTTAAACAAAGTCCTTAGGTGTAATCAGTCTTTATTTATTTATTTATTTGTGTGTGTGTGTGTGTGTGTGTGTGTGTGTGGCCAGCTCAGCCCACCAGGGGGCGGGGCTGGCTGGCATGTGGTGCTGGGGTATTGAACCGCGGTCCCTGTGCTTTAGCTAAGCTTGTTCTAAGTAGGTGCTTTAGACCACTGAGCCATCTCACCAGCCCGCCCTGTTGCTTTTAATGAAGTGTGTAATTCATTGAACACGGCCTGGTTAATAGGGACCGTGCCAATTACAAGTCATTTAAGTGAGCCCTCCCGCCCCACCCATCCTGGAAGGGCTGCGCAGTGCCTCTTGGTGCCTGGGTGGGCGCTGAGCTGTGGCCTTCCTCATCAGGACCTGACGCTGAAGCATGGCTGGCGGACGGGCGCCATCATCCCCGAGCTGAGGTCGGAGCTCAGGATCATGAACACGGAGCAGTACGTCCAGACTGTGACCTGGCTGCAGACCCTGACCGGGCTGCTGGAGCAGATGCAGGTGGGCCCCTTCCTGGCTTTGTCTTGGATACGACGGCTGGTGCTGCGGCTTCACACGCTTTCTGTGCTGCTGGGGTCCTGCTATGCAGGCTGGAGGCTGCGCTCTGTGGACCGTGGGTAACGGGAAGAGGTCACGGAGGCGTTTTCCCCAAAGGGACCCGATGTGCTGTCACCACAGCCCTGTGGAGGTCAGGGTGGGCCCCAGAAGGTGCGGGTGTTGTGTCTTCACTGCTCTTGGTGACAGCCAGGGTCTGTTCCCACGTGCCAGCCTGCTAGGCGTGCAGTGTGGGCCTGGTCCTGCCTTTAGCCACCGTGGGATGTCACTGTTTTGGGCCTCAGTTTATCCATCTGTAAGGGAAGGGCCTGTACCAGGAACACATCATCCTGGAAAGTCACAGAACTAAGGTCAGGGTCTCTGGTCCAGCCTGCGAGTGCTCTAGAAGAATTTGATGGTGACAAGCTGGCTTGGCTGTCCTGGGCATGGCACCTGCTCTCGTCTCTGTGGGCTATGGGGCCGTGAAGGGCAGTCACGAGTATGTCCTTCAGCCTGCTGTCTCCTGGCCCGCGGATGCCGTGTGAGCCCCTCTGCCTCTCCTGCCTCCTCCTCGGTCCTGAGTGTCCCCTGCCCCTTTCTCACCATTGCCACCTGCTTCACACAAAAGGGCATAGTCGCCGCTCCCTGGGCTGCCACCCCTGCGTCCCGTGCCTGTGGGCGATGCCCACAGCTGTTAACTGCCAGTGGCCTTGGGAGCCTTGCTGGCCCAGCTGGCCGTCATGTCCAGGCAGCTGGTGCCGAGCAGATCCCTGGCAGTGTGCGCCACAGCGTGGGACCCCGCACGTCCGCGGACCTGGCTCCCAGGGTTCTCTCCACGTGCCCAGCCTTGGCTCGTCCTGCAGAGAGCTTGTTTTGTGTCTCCTGATGAGCTTGCCTGTGAGATGAGACGATTTTCTAAAAATACCAGGCACCAACTGTGGGCCAGCGTGGCCCAGGAGCCGAGCAGTGCCACAGTGCCAGCGAGTGGCCGCCCAGCGCTGGGAGCTGGCACTGTGCTTATCATCCACTTAGTGCTGGGCGGGCACGGTTTCCACATGAGAATAAGGAAGCCAGGGCGGGGGAAGTTGGGACCAGGCCCAGGGTCGTAAAGGGACAGAAGAGGACCTGAGTCCAGGCTGTGGCACGGGCAGGCCCCGGCTTCTGAGCTCCGCTGTAATGCACGCTCACTGGCATGGAGCCCGGGGATGCGGGCGGAGACTTCCTGTGCTCGGGCTCAAGACTGGGCTTTCAGACTGTAGTCACCAGTGCTCAGCTGTGGTCCAGGGATCCTAAATGGAACATTCTGGAAATCGTAAGTCCCCCACAGCGTGATTAGAGTGCGTTGTCATATTTGCTCTTTGTTGTTACTCTCTCACTGTGTTTAATCTATAAATTAGCTTTTGTCACAGGTGTGTGTGTGTGTGTGTGTGTGTGTACAGGAAACAAAACAGCATGTGTGGGGTCGGGACTCAGTCAGGTTAGGTGTCCCCTGGGGCTTAGGGGACAGCTCTGGCCACCTCACTCCAGGCTTCCAGTGACTGTGGCAGCTGGCCAGGCAGATAGGCACCACCTATCTGTGGGGACAGCTTGGCTTAGTTAGGCTTCCCTCTCTGCCCTGTGAAAAGATTTGGTGGTCAGAGGGTGTGTGTGTTCAAGAAGGGAGGTGACACAATACCCCAGAGACTTAGAGTATGGATCATGCAAGGCCTGGGGTAGGGAATGGGGAACGGGACCGCGTACCTTTCCTGTCACCACCCCCTGGACTGGAGAGAGAGCTGGGCCAACAGGCAAGTGACTTCTGGAATCAGCGGGTGGCTGGCAGGATGGGGCACAGCAGATGGCCCTGGGCTGAGGCCTGGATGTGAGACCTTCGTCCCTGGCACCTGGCAGGTGGAGATCCCTTTGCAGAGCAGAAAGAAGCTCTGCGAGGCCTTGGGTCAAGCGCCTCACGGTGCTGGGGTCAGATGGTCTAAAACACCACACTAGTGTCTGTCCTGTGCCCCACCCCTGCCCCCATGTCCACCTGGAAAGCCCAGCACTTTTGCTTGGTCCTAGAACCTTCCTGTGGGGTTACTTTCAGAGCGCAAAGCACAGTGTTCATGAGGGGGGAGACTTGTCCTCGGAGCTGGCACCTGGTGATCAGGGCCGGGACTGAGGCCCTGCCTAAGAGTGTGTGGTTCTGTGAGGCTTCCCTTGAGAGGTCCTGGGGAGCAGCAGTTTACGTGCCTTTGGGAGGTCCCGGTGAGGGGAGGCACCTGCGGGTGTTGTTGGGGTCAGGGCGCCAGGGGAGCCAGCAGAATCACACAGAGCCTGCAGCAGCCCAGACGCTTCCCCGGGCCTTTCCTCTTTTGCTTTTCCATCTGGGCCTTGGGGAGACCTTGAGGAGTCCCTGTGATGAGATCGCAGCACGGGGATCTGCAGATTCCGGGTGTGAAGGCCTGGCCGGCTGTGGTAAGGAGAGCACCTTGCAGCTCCGGGCCTCTCCCACGAGGGCACCAGTCACTGCCTGGGAGCCCTGACACCTAGGGCATCATGCCCCACATGAAGGTTTCTACTTAGAAATTTTTTTTGAGAGGGGTGCACAAGCATCCTGTCTACAATGTGTATAGTAGGATTTGGGAACTGCTTCCCGTTATTGGGTAGACCTAGGGCCAGTGGGAGGGCGGCCCTGCCCCTGCCCTGGAAATTCAGTGCACACGGTGATGCCTGCATGACACTCAGCAGGTGCTGACTGAACATGCATGCACGTGTGCAAACACACACACACATGCACATGCAATTACAGGCACCTGGGGATGCCTGCGGTCCCCTCCTCTTCTGAGCTCTGTGTGTCTCAGGGGACCCAAGCCCGGGGCGCAGCCTGCAGCTCCTGTGAGGCAGCTGTGTCCGGTGGTGGCACCTGCGGCATGGCCTGATACCTGCTTTACCTCACGAAGATGTGTTTTCATCTGAGTGGGAAAGCGAGAGCCCGCCAGTGGTAGCGCTGAGAGTCTGCAGATGCGGGCCTGCAGGAGGCTCTGGCGGCTCGAGGAGAGCAGGTGCTGCCAGCTGGTGGCCTCTGTATTCTGAGGTCCCCCTGTGGCCACGCCCTGCAGGCTGTCCTCCTGTCCCAGAATCATGTGTGCCTGGACTCTGGCTGTGGCTTCTCAGCCACAGGAACGTGGAGGGAGATTCCCGCGCGAGGCCAGGGCCGCTGCCCTTTCCTGTGCCATGCTTCGGCCCGGCCAGGGATTTCTCTGCTTTGCCTTTTGCTGGGACGCGTTTCTGACCTGCCTCTTGCCATGAGTGCTTTTTCCCCCGTTACACATTTGAAAAGACAATGTAGCATTAAAGGACAAGCTAAAACCTTTCAGTCCTTCTACGCTTACACAAATTTATAAAAATACTGCGTGTGTTGCGGATCATTTGCAAATGTACCACGTCTCCATATGCTTGCTGTTAGCATGTGACCACAGTTGGGCTACTTCCTCTTGTCACATGTGTGTGACAGGTCACGTGTGTGTGATGACACACTGCTCACCTTAGACACACATTCACAAGGATTCACGTGCGTTATGTTCATACATAGCGTTTAATAATAGTCTAGTGGCTTCATGAAATTTCACCCTATTTTGTTAAACCAGGTTTGAATGACAGGCATTGAAAGCCATTTTATTTTATTTTTGTGGGGAGGAAGGGCAGGCTTCAGCAGGAGGGCGGGAATGTGTTATTTCACACAAGCGCCTGCCCCTTAAGACTTGAAGGGATAAAAGTGCCCCAGAGGAAGCGCCGCGAGGAAGTGCTCCAAGCTGCTGGGTAATGTGGAACCCACACAGCCTGACGTTTGGCTTCCGCTACAGGTTCACAGAGACCCTGAGTCGCAGCTGGTTCTTCAGGAGTGGAAGAAGGAGAGAAAGGAGATGAGGTAAGAGCAGTAGATTTTGTGGTTAGTTTTTGCTTTTTTGACAGTGTCTTTCTCTGTACTCCAGGGTTGCCTTGAACTCCCAGCGATCCTCCCGCCTCAGCCTCCCGAATCGTGAGATTACAGGTAGACGCCACCACACCTTGCCAGAAAACAGATTTCAGCTCCATTCTGTGGGCAAGGGAGATTTAGCAGCTAGTGCAGAGCTTCGCCTTGCCTCAATGTCTTCCAAAGCAGCTCTGCCTGCTGTTTTGTGGATAAAAACGGGCAGAGTCTGGGGCCTCGAAAGCATCCTTTCCGCTGGTGTAAATGGGAGCTGTGACCAGAGCCAGCCCGAGAGCTGGATGGACGGACAGGTTCTTCATAAGAATTGGAGCTGCTCTGCCTGGGTTTTCTGCCACATGAATCCTACCTGCTTCAAAAGAGGTTTTGATTTCAGTATTGAAGACCGAGTCTTTAAAAATTGTGTGTGATGCCGGATGTGGTGGTGTCCACCTGTAATCCCAGCATTTGGGAGGCTGAGGCAGGAGGATTGCCACCAGTTCCAGGCCAGCCTGGGCTACAAATGGAGTTCAAAGCTAGCCTAAACTACACTACACTACACTACACTACACTACACTACACTAAGTCTTTAAAAAGAACTTGTGAATTAAATGAATGTGAAAATCCTGTGTTTTGCGCAGGTACCATTCCCCATTCTGAATGTCACGAGGTGCTGCCTATGAGTACTAATAAAAATGAAGCAGAGTAATGAGCCTAAAACTTAACAGTTTAAAAAATAAAAATTGTCCTGTTGCTTTCCCATTTGTGACTGCAGAGAAATGACCAAAAGGTTCTTCAACGCGCAGTTCGGCAGCTTGTTCCGCACGGACCAGAACCCCACCTACTTCCTGCGGCGCCTGTCGCGCTTCGCGGACATCTACATGGCGTCCCTGAGCTGCCTCCTGAACTACGATGTGCATCACACCTTCTACCCCCGCCGGACTCCGCTGCAGCACGAGCTGCCCGCCTGGGCCCACCGGCTGGCCCCATTTGGGGCCCCTGTCCTGCAGGCTGCCCAGGCCGAGTAGCTGCAGCCAGGCTGGGCACACAGCCCGGCTCTGTGGGGACTTGTGTGGGGACTTCAGGGTGGGTTTGAGCACTGCTTTCTGCAGACATGGGCACCAGGCCTTTGGGCAGTGCTGTGCCTGCAGTCCTCAGCCTGCCTGCAGGGCTGGAAAAGGATTCAGCCTATTATTCACTGAGGTCCTAGACTGGCGTCACTGTCTCGGGAGAGAAGAAACCCCTGCTTCAACCTCTGCTGGTCAGCTCGAGCCAGGGGTGGGTTCTTCGTGGATGTTCTGGGACCTTTGCAGGCAGCCACTGGGGATGGTGATGTGCAGGATACGGGACTCAGGGGAAGCTGAGGCTGTAGCCGCGATCCCCCTAAACAGCGGCCGATTCCCAAGTCCTTGGGTCCTAGGCTTTCGAGGACTCCTGGGGAGTCGAGTGTGTCTGGGAGGTCAGCCTCCAGGGAAGGGTGCAGGAGAACCAAGATCCTGGTCTTCACTGTGAGGCTGCATCTGCCCCACACGGGCCAGGGACAGCAGCATGACAGGTGTGGGCATGACAGGAGCAGGAGCTAAAGTTGGCTGTGTGCGGCGGTCCTTGGTCATTGGTCTGCATGGGACGTGGGCCAGGAAGGAGAACCAGGGCCTTCCGCTCCCGGAGCTCCTCTTCCCCTGGCACCACCTGTGCGTGGGCTTTGTGTGCTTGTTGGGGAGAAAATGAAATAAGGGGTGTGTGTGTGCTTGTGATGGGACACCTCACCACAGCCAGCTTGGGGGTCTTATGGAAACACCCAAGCTCCCAGGAACCTCTGCAGATGAGGAGCTGCCTGCCGCTCTGGAGTGTCACCTGCCAGGGAGGCGGTGGTCAGCGCCTGCAGCCCTGTCCTTGCTGTTCCCATTCTGTCCATGCGGCTTTTGGGACTTGGGGCATTTTCTTAGGTAGCATCCAAGGCAGGATAGGGTGAAGGGCATTGAAAGTCACAGGGAGACCTTGCTAGCTGAGCTCTCCGTGTTCACACAGCACCTCCCTGCAAGAATCCGCACTCCCCAGTGTTCACTCACTGTGCTCTGTGTGCGTCTCGGCGTCCACAGTTGCAGTCACAGTGTTCCTGGTGGCATTTCTGTTGTCCGTGGTGCATGAACTCTTCTGGTCGGGTGAGCCCTGGGTATTGCCTGGGTGGAGCCTGAGCTTGTGCTGTGCTATGGCAGGTGGGGAGCCTTAGCCTGTGGGGTGTGCTTGCACTGTGTCACAATTGCTGACCGGATGCCAGCCTGGCAGCTGTTGCCGGCCACCACGCAGATGCAGAGGTCAGCAACTAGGGAGCAGGCTCTGGCGCCCTTCATTTCCATGGGACTTGAAGGTGACCCTCAAGCCCAAGCCCTCATTCTGTCCACTGTTGTAAGCGCAGGAGGGCGCAAGAGCAGGGGCCTTTGGGGAGTGGCGCAGCCATGCTGTGCTTTAACTTAGTACTCCAGGGGCTGCCACTCAGTGCCCACAGGTGAGGGTCAGCTGCACTCAGAGCCGGGTCCTGAAAGGTTGTTTTGTTTTTGAGGCAGGGTTTCAATATGTAGTTCATGCTGGCCTTGAACTCACTTTGTAGCCCAGGCTGGCCTCGAACTTGCAGCTGTGCTCCTGCTGCAGCCTCTGAAGGGCTGGATTACTGGTGTGCACCACCACAGCCGGCCCCAGAGGTTGTGCTCTGCTAATGATTTCTCCTTGAGAGTGGTGGAGTGAGGAAGCCAGCATTGTTTCAGAAAGAATTTTTGGTTCACATCTAATCATGTGTTCTTCAGTGCCAGTCCCAGGGAGTTCGGTTTACTCCGGAATGAAGTCGAACTCGTTCTGACACCGGCTTTCTTAAATGTCTAGGTTAGTCACTAAGCTTTGGGGGAGGAAAACACTTTCTGGATTTGAATGATGAATTTTGTAACTATTTCCTCCTAGGAGGGCCTCAGGCTTGGGGCCACAGAGGCCTGGCACCTGCTGCCCCAGGGCCCCCTGGTCAGGCACCTTGGGGCCCACACACCCATGCATGCCAGCTGAGCACCCTGGTGGCTGTCAAAAGGGCAGGGCTGTCCTCTGCGTGGTCGTTTCCCTTGTCCGCTCTGTCTGCACAGGTGGCAGCTTCTCACTGCCCCGCCCGCCCTCTGCAGGGCCTCGGGTCCCCTCGGGGTTGCTGTGTCCTGTGCACACTGATAAAAATATAAAAACGTCGGTGCCAGGAAATCAACCCTTTTCCTACCGTTAGAAGATTAGTTTGCAAGGCATACACTAAATTGAATGTGAACACTTCAGAATGAATGTTCTTAACGTTGCTTAGGCCAGTTTTCTGAGGATTACATGAAGCAGGACTCCTAGTGGGGGCAGTGCACACCAGTGAGACCACCCAGTGAGACTCGGGCTGCTGTGGGAGGGGTCTGCAGTGCACTGCCTCCGGCTGCTCTTACAGAGGAAACCTGGCTTTTCAGGTATTTTGTGTGTTTCGCTTCCAGCACCCACCATGCTTCTGACGGTCCACTATTTGTCTGTCTCTCTCTCCACTGACTCCTCCATTTTTTTGTGCTCATCATGAATGTCACACAGCACGCACCACCTGCGGGGCGCTGGGCGCATCTCAGGCTGAACTGGTTGCTTTGATGCCGTCTACCCTCCTGATGATCCTCACAGAGGAGAAACAAGTGATCTCACTTCCTCCTGAATTCAGCTTGAGCTGGACACAGCAGCCATTGCCGTGTGTGTGTGTGTGTGCTGGACACAGCAGCCATTGCCGTGTGTGTGTGTGTGTGTGTGCTGGACACAGCAGCCATTGCCGTGTGTGTGTGTGTGTGTGTGTGTGTGTGTGTGTGCAGCCGCACCGCTAAAGACCCACCCAGGCGCTCATGGCCAGAGTGCTCTGAGACTAAATTTGGCCAGACTCAAGGGGCTCCTTGCTTGCTCTATTTAATGAAAAGGGGCGTGTGTTTTCTTCCTTTCAGTACTGATTTCCTTTTGTGCCCCTTTCGTTTTGTGTTTTTGGCTTTTGTGTTTGGGAGCCAGGCTCCCAGTTTAGCAGACTCTGAAGCCACCGGTAGGCGAAGGGAAGGGAAGGGAAGGGAGCCAGGTGCCTCTACGAAAGCCGAGGCTTTGCCCTTAGAGCGCCAGCTAGCTCGCTGCAGCCGTGTGGGCCCTCCACCCTGCAGGATGGCAGGGCACGGCTGGGTTCCAGTGTGACTTGATTTACCCGAGCAGGCTGTGGTTTGCTGGCCCCCGATCGACCAGTTGTTTTGAATGAGTTCCTTCCGGGAGCATGCATGCAGACAGGAAGGCGTGCTGCAGGGAGCATGGCGGATTCCCCCAGCGGCGCACTCCAGCTCTTGTGGGGACCCCCTTGCTCTGTGAACTTGGGCCTCCTCTCCTGTCGCTGGTCTGTGGCTGTGCTGCCCCTGGCTGCGGGGCTCAGCTGCCCACATAACCTGAGGGCCTTGCGGTCTGGATCCTGCAACAGTTGGGCGCAGTGTGGCTGACTGCAGCTGTGGGGTCTTTCTGGGAGTTTCTCCTGCAGAAGACCCTGACCTCGGCCCAGATCGTGCCCACTTTCTGTGGCCCTGGAACCCCTGGCTGCTCTCATGGGACCTGCAGAGGCCTGGATGACCTCCCCACTAGCTTGGGCCAGCCCAGGGGCCCTCCCTTCAGCTATAGAGCACCCTGCAGGGCCACTGGAGCCCCCTGAGCCTGTGGTAGCCAGCGCCTCGCACCTCTCCGCTGTCCCGTCCCTCCCAGGTGGATCCCTGCTGCTTCCTGCCGTCAGCCTCCCGCATGCAGCTCTTCCCCGGGGGACCCCATCCACTCGGACAGGGCTTTACGTTTTCCTAGTGGTGCAGGCTCCATCTCCCAACCCCGGAGACTGTTTCCTCATCATTTATTGGGGTGACAGTTGGGCCTGGATGGTATCAGGCACTGTAAATACAAATTAGGTAGACCTACTATTTATTCTGAATGGGAATTTGCTCTTTATTCCAGATGTTAATTTTATGTGTTAAATGATGCTGAACTTACAGCCAAATAAAAGCTTGAATTGTTATTGCCTGGTTTGCTGTGAGTCACCTGTTTTGCGTACTGAATTTGCGGTGTCCTATTCTAAACCTACTTTCATCCAGGACTTGAGGCTGCTGCCCCTAAACAAGTGATGAAAGTCTTAAAGAAAGAAATCCCAACCAGGATCTCCCACCCACCCCCTCAAGAGAAGGTTAGCATTCTGTTCATGTCTTATCACCAGGGTCACCTCGTTCTGTTCCCAGCAAGCTTATGCACCTCTTCCAGGTGTGGAGACGGGTAAATCAAAGACTGCAAGCCCAGCCACAGGCTGGTCGGGGGACCCTGCTCTCCCCCCAGGGAGCCTGTCCTGGACCACAAAGAAGAGTGCAGCCCATGGGCTTGTCATCAAGTTACCAGGAAAGCTGGCAGTGTGTCCAGGACAGGAAACGGAATTAGGAGTAAGGGTGTGCAATGGAGTCACTCTAGGGTTTTGGATGAGTCTAGAAATATTTTGAAGGTGTTAATAAACTTTGTTATTGACATCTTGTTAATAAACTTTGTTAATAAACTTTGAAGATGGGGCTGGCCAGATAGCTCAGTGGACCAAAGCGTGTGCTTAGGCAGAGTACAGGGACTGGGGTTTAATCCCTGGTGTGCTGTGCTGGCCCTGACGCTGGGGCGCACTGAGACAGCAGTTGAGACTGGGCGTGGTGGTGCGCACCTGTCATCCCAGTGCTTGGGAGGCTGAAAACAGGACCACTATGAGCCTGATCTATGTAGTGAGACCATGTAGACCCTGTACTCAGTACATTAAAAAAAAAACAAAAACAAAAAACCCACAACTTTGAAGATGAGAATGTCTAGAGTAGTAAAATCGTTCCCTCTCACTAGGTGGGTGGTACCTTAGCTGAATTCACTACCCCTTGGGTATCTGGTGACACTGTTGGTCACTGGCCTCTGTGTCCCTGTGATGGTGGTGTGTGGATTTCTTTGGAGGGTTTCCTGGAAACGTGGCCTTCTTCCATGATGGCACATTGTCCTAGAGGGGGTGGTGCTCCCTGGAACAGGCCTACTTCCCTTGCCTGGAGTTAGGAGAGCACTCACAAGACACCTGGGCTTCTAGAACTCTGGGCACAGCTGGCCCTCAGCCCACCCTGTCCCCAGCAGGGGCTTCCACCCTGGGTGGCTTGGAGGGTGCTCTGCTGTCCTGGTGATGGTGACTGACAGTTGATAAAAACATAGATTGTGACACTTGTCCATTGGTGGACAGAGGGAGAGGACCCAAAACTTGATACTCTGCTGAAACTGTGGCCGCGGGGCCAGGGGTGGAAGGACAGCCCTGGGGACCCAAGTTCCCCACCCATACCCTGTCCACATAGTCCTGCAGCTGCTTGTTGGCTGTGTCTCAGCTTCATGCTTGTAAAAGTGCTTGGCGGGATGGTGGTGTTCGCCCGCCTTCCCGCTGCCTGCACCTCCCCCCAGCCTGATGACCTCCAGAAGAAACGGCGGTCTCCACGTGCGTCAGCGCTTCATCTTCTTTAGGGAGGGATGCGACGGCGCCCTCCTGGAGCGGTAGCAGTTTGCTCATTCATCTGTTGGATTATAGACACTTCTAGTTGGTATGAATAATCTCACCGTGGACCGACATGCTCGTGTTTTGCGTGGACATGGTTTCGTGCCCACGTTATGTGGGAGTGAGCTGCTGAGCTCGCGGGGGAATCCCGGTTTTCCCTGTGGCCTCCCCTTTTACATTCCTACCCGCAGCGGCTGCAGCTTCATGTTTCTCCATATCCCACCCATACTTGTTATTTGGGAGAGGGTGGGAAGCACTCTCTCTCTGCTCCTTTGCATCTTAGCAAACAAGCTGAGTCGAAGAAGGAAGAAGCGTGCATAAGGTGGACGCGGAGTGAGTGAAAGGCCCTCGGTATCCCAATCCGTTCAGGTTTTGCCTTCTCAGTTTGGCCCCCTCGTGTCCTAGCCAAGGACTTTCCCAAGACATTTGGTTTGTTTTGTTGCCTTTATTTCTGTTCCATAAACATCGCTGAGCACATTTCCAGGGCCAGGTGCTGGGACGCAGAGGCGAGCGGGGCGAGCCTCACGTAGAGGCGCTTACGGTAACCGGGCAGCGAGACGTCAGCAGCCCGCGGGGGGGGGGGGGGGGGCGGGCGGGGGCGGAAGTAATCAGCAACACCTAGAAGGCGGAAAGACCGGCTGGCGGAGGGCTCCGTCCTGCCGGAGCACCGGGCTGTGGAGCCTGGAGCTGCAGAAGTGCGGCAGCCGCCAGCCTGACCCACGGGACAAGGCGTGTGAGTGCGTGGCTCGCACTCTGCAATGTTGAGGGCCTGTGTTCCCTCAGGGCTGCTGCTTCTGAGGACTCGCAGCGAGGGCCTTCCTGAGGCTCCCGTGGCCCAGATGACGGTGGCTGATGGCTGGTGTTCCCGAGGGACCCTCACAGGGTCCCGGCCCCCAGGGGATCGCTGCTGTCCAACTCCTGGAAAGAGAGGGCTGTGAGTCCCGAGGCAGTAGGAGGAGGAGTGCACTGTCCAGCCCTTGAGTGCGTGTGGCCGAGTGTCCCTGGAGGTCCAGTCTGAGGCCTAAATCATGATTCTCCTGAGCACGGGAGGTAGGTGTCGGTGGACATGGCCACCTGCCCTGGGACTCTATAGAGTCCCTGCTAGCTGACACTGCTTGCATGACCCCCTCTTGCCACCTTATGTCTAAAGGGCCACGCTAACATATGCCTCAAGGGGCATGAGGGCTGCATACTGCAGAGAGGTGCCACCCCGTTCAGGCCACAAATCTGTCCTGATCCAGAGTGGCCCCGAGCTTTCAGGGCGAGGGCTCAGCTGTCTCTAGCTGTGACAGGCACTGAAGCTGGGGTACAGAGCACAGTGTGCGTTAGCAGGGGTGTCTACTGGGTGGACCTAGTGGTGTCCAGGACGTCTGGACTGGCTACAAGTGCTATCCAGGGTCCCTATCCTTCAGCATGAAAGACAAGCACCTAGCTCATCCCTGGGGCCAGGATTTGCCTCCCAGGCTGAACAGAAGGCCGAGCTGATCCCTGGTCCTAGAATGTTATCACCTAGGGGTCTTGGGACAGGACTGGCAACTGGGAAGGAACGGAGCACAGGGTGCAGGAGCTGTGACTGTGTCTCTTCTGCTTTGGTTTATTTGTTTGGTTTTTGAAGATGGGATCTTGCTCCATAGTTAAGGCTCGTCTTCAATTCACTACGTAGCCCAGGCTGGCCTCAGGTTCACGGTGATCCTCCTGCCTCAGCCTCTAAAGTGCTGGCATTACAGACATGCACTAGCACACCCCACTCATTGATTTCAATATGATGATGCTTACAGAAATAAACACCTAGTTAACAAATGCAGTTTAGTTGAACCCACCCTTGGCATCTAGACCACTTTTACATGCATTAGGTTAAAGCACAAAGGAAGATTTACAGCCGGGTTATTTTCCAACCTCTGCTAACCACATGGAATGTGGTACGGTAGTCACTAAGAGCCAGCCATGAGAGACTGACATTTGGTTTACTTCACGAAAATAACATCTGTTGCGCAGTACAGGCTTAACGCCCGCACAAGAAAACATTTTTGTAATGTTTCTGACAGCACAGTCTTGGGGAAATAGCAGAGTGTGCGCACAGTTCTCTGGCTTTGGTGAGCCCTGTAGAACCACACGAGCCAGTGCCACAAATTTCTTTGGGGCTGAGGGTGTTCAGCCTGCTGGGTCATGTGACCTGCTGGCCATCATTTTTCTACACAAAGGGAGAAGCGAAGTCTTTCCCTCACTTGTCAGTGCAGAGCTGGTACTGAGCCACTGGCAGGGTCACCGTCTGCATCCAGCAGGAGCAGCGTCCCCTGCCATGGGCCCCAGGGTGGAAGTCACGGGAGGAATCTCAAGTGCCACTAATTCTAGAAATCAAGGGTCCCTTCTTGGAAGACCAGAGCAGGGTATCTCATCTGGATAGAGGTCAAGGTGAATTTATCTCGGTGGTACAGTGCCTGCCTGGTAAGTGTAAGGCCCCGAGTTTGGTTCTCAGTTCCTCCTGCTTCCCCAGTGAAGCACAGGTAAGTGGCTCATTTAAGAAAAACAGCACCCAAAGCGAGGTACGGTTCTGACAACAGAAAAGTCAACGTAAATGCACATGTAAAGGAAAGCTAAAGTAAAGTCAATGTTTGAAGGTCCTGTCTTTCTCTCTCTGTCTCTGTCTGTCTCTGTCTCTGTCTCTCTGTCTCTGTCTCTGTCTCTCTGTCTCTGTCTGTCTCTGTCTGTCTCTGTCTGTCTCTGTCTGTCTGTCTGTCTCTCTCT